GGTCCCAAACCAAGAATATAATAAATGTCCCAAACCAAGGATATAATAAAGGTCCCAAACCAAGGATATAATAAAGGTCCCAAACCAAGGATATAATAAATGTCCCAAACCAAGGATATAATAAAGGTCCCAAACCAAGAATATAATAAAGGTCCCAAACCAAGGATATAATAAATATCACAAAATACACAACATGACACCAAGGATATAATAAATATTACAAAATACACAATATGGCATTAAAGATATAACAGAGATAAATTCCACTATATGACACCAAAGATATAATGAAAGTTATAAAATTCAAGCAAAAGTACCCGTCCCCAGTAACGGAAAAGTTTAAGTTAATGTATCAATTTAATTATTTCTTGGACTTTAGAAAGTTAAATTGTGTTGCACTTTTGGTTTCAGTCACAGCCAAAGCTCTGAGCTACTTATACCACCCACCGTGAAAAGTAATTGTTGAACATTTCAGTCATGCTAAGAGTCACTCAGCAATAACATATGGTAAATCTACATTTTTATTCTTTAAGTTACGTCACATTTCGAAATGTAAATAATAGTGTGATTAATTCCTAATAATTTAGTGTAGAATATCCTGATTGTGATATAAAATCTGACATTAACATTATTCATGTCTGTTCTCTCGTCATTTCAAAAACAATGTTGAGCCTTGATTGCGCGCGCAGTTTTTCAAGCGAGAGACAGACAAACGCTCGGACAGACACTACGGTTCGCAATATATATAAGGATAAATAACGTGTTAAGTACGGGAGTGGTGCAATACGATCAAGGGACATGCGAAGATTTTACACATTGTGTTTTCTTAGTTTTATAGCCACGTTTTATATTTATACGTTAAATATCTTTATCAGTTTATCACACGCAGTTGAATCTTTGAGTTAGAGATATATACCTTTGAGACCTCTTGCATTTGATAACTTTTGTTTTTTTTTAAACTCTACTGAATTTGTTTTCAATGTTTTATAACAGCAATTAAACGGTATTATATTTTCCCTTTATTTTATATTATACTCTTGGTAACATTATGCATATAAAGTACACCATATTTCGTTTATCTTGACACGTGTTTCGAAGCCTGTGATGACGTCAGTATTGTAACACGTTCCCAATGGGGAGCTCGAGGACCGAAGAGTCAGTCCAGCTTACAGACACCTGTCGGTAAGATTTTAATTCACCATACTGCCGGAGCCACGTGCAATAGCCAATCGTCATGCTCCAGAGTAGTACGTAATATCCAGATGTACCATATGAATACGAAAAGTAAGTTTTTATTTTGTTAGGACTTACTACAATATTAGATTCATAAGACTTTGGGTGAAAGCTGTTCCTAACAAACATATTATATGGACAATACACCATCCAGTTATAAACAAATTATATAGGATTTTCACATGGATTAGCTATGAGTTCATTAGGATTAATCTTACTATAATGGATGTAGCGTGTATATATGTATCTATCTATCTATGTATGTGACCGAAATAATAAATACAATGTGGGGCCATCTTTTGAATGGCACCACAAACAAATATTCATAAAAACTTTAACATTTTGAGTATTCAAGACTCGGACAATTCAAAGAATAACTACAGTATATGTGTAACGATTATTTCTTTAACACAAAACATAATTTTAGATAAAAATACTCTCCTCACAACAAGAACATAACTTTCACTAGGACTGTACGTGAGGGTTTGATTATATCTTTATTGATGTAGTTTGTAAATATAGTAATAAAAAATGGAATTATTTAAAAACTGGTACCATTTTTAATATATACAAACATGACAGTTTATATCAGTACAATCCGAACACTTTCCCATGCAGTAATTCCCAGAAAAATCCTTTTTCCTTTTTTGTTTAGAAAATGTTCGCTTTTTCTACATTTCCTTCCATTAGACATGAATAGTACAATTAATAATTACTATCACAAACAGCTAGCAATCTTAAGTTTAATTTTTGCGTGTATTTTCGCTCTTTTTGGCCTCCAGTAACTCAGCACTAAGTGTGAGGGCATATAACGCTTAAATTCGGGGTTCGATCCCCGTATAGCGCAGATATCCCATTTTACACCTTAGAAACATGACTCCTTACCTTCGTTAGGAAAGTTTCGGATTACGGTTACCCAGTTTTAATCAGTTACATCACGTGACTGTTATATGTATGGTCGCAAAGTATACCACGTGACTTATTCCAACAAAGTTCTCAGTATATACAATGGAAACAAACATATTCGATACAAGATTTCAATGTACTTCAAAGAGAGGTCATGGGTAAGTAGATGTACGACCATAAATAAACAAAATGATGAGAAATAATTCATTAATAGCGCCATAAATGAAGATACAGTTCTCCATTTTCTTCACATTGTATTATTAATGTTATAATAGAAGTACCTGTTTAGAGAGTACGTGTATATTTCCATGTTTTATTACATGATAACTAAGTAATGTTAGGTTTGGCACAATTGACAAAATAAAATACGTGAATCCTTGTTTAAACACAAGGATAAGTTTACATCAATTTTCCATTACGCTAGTATTATTATCGTGTTTAAATCCTATTCCATACTCCGTTAAAGTTACAGAATATCATTATCGTGTTTAAATCCTACTCCAATACAACGAAACAAGTCTGTTAAGATTCATTACTAAAACAAAGAAGATCTTCATGATACAACAAAAGGCTGAGTGATACGTTTATTTAATAGAGTGTAAGATCACGTCAGAAATGGAGTATGGAGTAGGATTTAAACACGATAATGATATTCTCTAACTTTAATGGAGTATGGAGTAGGATTTAAACACGATAATAATATTCTGTAACTTTAAGTCAGATCAGGGTTCAATGTTTTAATAATGAGGTCCAGTAAGCTACAGACTTGTTTCGTTGCTTTTCAGATCAGGGTTCAATGTTTTAATAACGAAGTCCAGTAAGTTACAGACTTGTTTCGTTGTTTGTCAGATCAGGGTTCAATGTTTTAATAACGAAGTCCAGTAAGTTACAGACTTGTTTCGTTGATTTGTCAGATCAGGGTTCAATGTTTTAATAATGAAGTCCAGTAAGTTTTCTCGGAATATATATCATGTTGTTTCTTTGTTTGTTAACAAACCAATAGAGTATGAATTTCATACACTTTGTATTTTTTAAAAACTCTCTACATTAACGAGTAACGAATTTGGCTACAGAATGGTCAGATATTGGCTACAATTTCCTGATTGGTGGAGATGGAAAAGTTTACGAAGGTCGTGGCTGGAAAACACGTGGAGCCCATTCACCTGGTTACAACAGTAAGTCACTTGGGATCTCCTTTATAGGAAACTATCAGGAAGAGACGCCAAGCAGCGGAATGTTACAAGCTGCGAAGACACTGGCTGAGTGTGGTGTGTCTAAGGTAAGCACGTTCATCACGCTTCTCTCTATAAATATAACATATAAAATGTAAGTTACGTGCGATATTCTTCTTTACTGTCATAGCAACGCTAAGTATGTGGTGTTTATACGTCATCTTTTCAGGGTTACATCACTTCCAGTCACACGGTACACGGTCACCGAGATGCTAAATGTACAGACTGTCCAGGAAACAAGTTGTATGATGTTATAAAACGCTGGACCAATTATGGCGGAAGGCTACCTGATTACGTATGTTGATGAATGATGTCGAAACTCGAGGTGTAAGAATCTTAGTTTTTAGAAAATGCCATGTATTAGTTAAAACAAAATAAAAAAAGAAACGTTTTTAAGGTCTCTGTGTTTTGTGGCACTGGATAGAGCGATACGATGTGGTCTCCGAGTGGGCGGCCGCTGAAAATAGGGCAAAGAGTAAAAGTGAGTACTAATAACGTTTTTTTCTTGATAAAAATAGTCCTCCAATACATCTTGTTCAAGATTCTGAAGGGTGTCCAGTTCACATGACGGAGCCTTTTTCCAGAGAGACTAAAACCAGTCACAAAGTTTTAGTACACATCTAGAGGGTCGGACCAGAGGAACAAAAACCAGTCACAAAGGTTTAGTACACATCTAGAGGGTCCGACCAGAGAGACTAAAACGAGTCACAAAATTTCAGTACACATCTAGAGGATCTGACCAGAGGGACTAAAACCAATCACAAAGTTTTATTACACATCTAGAGGGTCTGACCAGAGAGACTTAAACCAATCACAAAGTTTTAGTACACATCTAGAGGGTCTGACCAGAGGAACAAAAACCAGTCACAAAGGTTTAGTACACATCTAGAGGGTCCGACCAGAGGAACAAAAACCAGTCACAAAGTTTTAGTACACATCTAGAGGGTCCGACCAGAGGGACTAAAACCAGTCACAAAGGTTTATTACACATCTAGAGGGTCCGACCAGATGGACAAAAACCTGTCACAATGTTTTAGTACACATCTAGAGGGTCTGACCAGAGAGACTAAAACCAATTACAAAGTTCTAGTACAAAAGCCATCAGAGTGGACGACATTATAGGTTTCCCCACTGATGTATCACTCTTAATACTTACTATAATTATTGTAAACCACATCTTTGTTGATGGTTCAATACAACGGAAGCGCCATCTACAGAGCTGCTACTATACGTCAGAGAGCTGGTCCACTTATTACTAGTGGTGGGGGGAGGGGAGTTGGACAATCATTGCATCCGACACTGAGCGGAAAGACGTTCTTCACATAGACCTGTGAGAAATATTAGAAAAATGTTAAACTTGCAATAAAATTTCAAAACACACTTATCTCAAGCTCAAGTTATATATAAAAGTCACACATATCTCTAGTTGTATATAAAAGTCACACATTCAAAGACAACTTCAAAGTTCTAGATGTCGGGGATCCAAGAGGAAACCGTCATCTCCAAAAGATCATCTTTGACTTCAATATGAACTGTATTTGTGAAGCTAAGTGCTCGATAAAATCCAAACAGATGGATACATGTTGTTCAGTAAAGAACTGTGGAAATTAAACAGCATATACCAGAAGACTGCGGTGAAAGAAGAGAACATCTGGAACCAGGACTGGCTAGGATAGTTTTGTAGAGAATACCTGGAACCAAGACTGGCTAGCACAGTTTTATAGAGAATACCTGGAACCAGGACTGGCTAGGATAGTTTTGTAGAGAATACCTGGAACCAGGACTGGCTAGCATAGTTTTATAGAGAATACCTGGAACCAGGACTGGCTAGCATAGTTTTGTAGAGAATACCTGGAACCAGGACTGGCTAGGACAGTTTTATAGAGAATACCTGGAATCAG